GAGGCATTGGGAGTTCATTTGGATACATCTCTTATCCCTCATCTCTCTCTATTATTAATTTTTTAGAAGTATTTTAGCTAATGTTCTTCTCTTCTTATCTAGTTGTAGCTTAGCACTTTATTTTCTCGTATTAAAGTTGTAATCTGTTTTTAGTTTATATTAATGCAAGTTACATTTCAGTCTTATTTAATGTCTTCTATTATGTTTATTATGTCTATTATTAGCTAATTTACTGGTATGGGTGTGGGTGTGAGTTCAACTTAGGATTTGTATACAATATTTGGGTGTTTTTACTCTTTACCATTTCGTAATTTGGTCACTTAAGACGGGACTTAAAATCGACGCGGATAAACCGATCACTTTGAAGTGTTAATATTAGATCTTAGACCCAGAGATGAGCGGATCCGAAATACGGCTTAAGTGTTACACAAAGAACTCGAGAAAGTCTTTGATAATTACGTGGAGACGCGAATTTTGTATGTATTTAGCTAAGGGTTAAGCGATGGTTATTCTTATCACAAAGAGATTCGGGTATGGATTTTATTTCTTCTTCTTTTTAGCTAAATCGGCAAGTTTCGAAGTGGTGAACGTAAGAATTTTGTGGAATTTTATGGGGACCGTTTGTAAATTTTTACTTTCGAGAGATTGAGATTTTTATAAATAACTCATAAAATTCTAACCATTTTATTGTTAATTTTATCTTAAGTAACACTCACACCCATGTCCATTCTTTAGTCAAAAGTTTATTTCGTTATTTTAGTTTTTTTAAAGCCTTTTTATAAACAAAAATCCAACTTTATTCATAAACCGAAACACGAGCAAGAAGTTCATGAAAGTCTCTGAATCTCAGTAGTCCACTCCCTGTGGAAACGATCTCGGTATTTTACCACTGTATTACTTGCAAGCGATCATAGTGTCGGCATGCACCTGCACCACCACTGTGGGGACTTTGTGCCCACTGTGGGGACTTTGTGCCCATTGTGTAAACTTCTAGCCTGTCAGTATCCCTCGCATATAGAGCCCATGCCAAGTAAGGAAGATCAAGCCTCAGCGTCGAAAAGCTTAAGGACTTGATGCAGAGCAACAATTCCAGACATAGAGCCTCTGCACTATACATACAGAGCCTCTGGGTCTCCTTCCCCCTTAGCTTGCATGCAGAGTTTCCACGGCGCATATCACAAGTGTTCCAATCAGAGCCTGACACGTGTGAAGAAACAGTTCCAACTTTCAAGGATCGTGAATGCTAATGATTTCGGATGCATTGACAGAGTTTAAGGCCTAAATTATCAAAGATTTTGTTTTGGAAATGGCATATAAAAGGATGTTTCCTCTAAGGAAACATACTCTCCGATTTGCCAAATTTGAAGACGCTCCTTGCTGCTAGAGAGAAACTAGCTATACACTTGTGAGATTTAGATTATTGTTGAGAGTTTTTCTATACACACACTCAAGAGTGTTCTTGGTGTTCTTGCAACTTTCTTCAATCAATACAGTCGACTTGTTCAACACTTTAAATTTATTTGTGTTTTGTTCATTTCTGTCAACCATCTAATATCATAGTTATTGTTTCCGCTCATCTGTTGACTTAAGCTGTGATTATTAGATCATTAGAGGATTTTGGGTTCCTACAAATCGTTTTCACAAATGTGTTTTAATATGCTCTTAAATTCCCAAGTGTAATTAGTTTTAAGAATAAGGAAATTATCAATTCAAAATAATATATTCAAAAGCTCAATTTACTAGAGCTTTGATTGCAATAATCCATGGCATAGGTTTAAAAACCTTATAATACCAATTGCCATTTTACCAAAACCCAGTTAAATATTTAGGGTTTTAATTAGCATTTTATTGAACGGACACCAATTAATTGGCCACAATTAATAATTAGCATTTAAGAATAAAGAAAGTCATCTAGGAATCTCTAAACTAAAATGCAACAAAGTCTAGGGTTTAACTATTGTTGAATAAGGAAACTAACTACTTACTAATTAAACATATGAAAGGATGAAAATGCTCCAAATCTTCTCCTTTTGCTTTCCAAAATTCGTTCCAGGTGTGATTTCCCACAAAATGGCAGTTGGGGGATGAAAAACATCAAAATGACAGTTTGGGCTCGCAATTGCGCGTGCAAGTTCTTTCTGCAACCTAGGTCGCAACTAAAGTCACAAATGTCCAATGTCTCAAAGTCGTGACTAAAATCATGTACAATTTGTCTTGACCCGTCCAAGTTGCAGCTAAAATTTCGTAACTCTCTTTACGTTTCCCGATACTTTTCCAACTATGTAAGTAGCACATAAAGTTTTGCCCATTTTCACTACACAAGTTGTTGTAATGAAAAAACACAACCGAATCAAAGGGGAGCATTTTTCGGGGTAAAACATTAAAGAGATTTGACACATAAATATGTCAAATTAAGCATCTATAATTTACAGACATGCTTAGGTAATGTTCTCGAAATACAAGAGTTAGTAAAGGTTGGTGAACTGGAGATTTGAATGAGTCTTATTTAAACTGGTTTGCTTGAGAATCACTTATGGTCTTGAATTGGATAGTAATGCTAGCCGTTTCGACATCATTCTATCCTCATTTTGGGTTTTCTTCTATTTGTCAAAGGCTTTAGGCTTATACCAGTTGAATTCGGAAAATAGAGATCAAAATAATTACAATGCGTTGATCTTTTACATAAAGAACATCGAAAACAAATTAGATAGGATATAGCGGAGCACATGTTTTCGACGTCGAAAAAACAAAAGAACATATTCTACTAGTTGGATGGGGGATTAAATCAGAATCATCACCATAGCTAATGGGTGAGACCGACAACATGCCATTCCATCATTCACCCTCTTGTCATTTAATGGCGTGGATATCCATTTACAAAACGTTTACAAGAAAGTTATGACGAAGTGAATGATAAACTTGACATCATCAAATATTACGAGATCAACATATTATTAACCAAAATGAGTTCAAAATAAAAAAAAAATTGAAACTTTTATTCTCTCATAAAATACAAATTACAACTTATTAGCATACGTACAATGCTATTTAAACTCCATATTTGAAAAATTAATTGATAAACAACTTAGGCTCAAAATGACATGAGACGTGACAAAGAGGTTAAACCTTAAGCCTTACATGCCATGGTGAGGACACGATAATTTTCGAGGCGTGATATAAGGCGACAAATTTTCACATCATATAGAATTATATATATATATATATATATGCACACACACATACATTTTTTTCTATACATTATTCAATGAGATAATGATATTAAAAATTTACGTTAATATTAGGAGAAAAATCATATGTATTAGCATAATATTTTATCTTCGTTAAATATTCAGAAAAAAAAAATTGAAAAAGAAATTTTACAATCTAGTGTTTTAAAAAACGCCAGAGGCATGTGCCTAGAGGTTCGTCTCAGTGCGAGTTAGGCCAAAAACATTTATGAGGCGCCGCCTCTAAGAGACCCGATTGTATGTGCGCCTTGATGGGTGAAGCGGGCCGTGAGGCAATGGGCCGGTCCAGAGGCGTGCTTCTCTTCTCCTTTATAAATAACCTTCCTTTCTTTACAACTAAAAAAGCCTAACATATTTATGGTAACAGATGCGGCATATGAAACCCAAATTATTATTCTTCTGTTTGCATCAATACAATACCAAACCAGTAAATTAATAACGCTTTTCGACTTCTATTACTTCTTCTCCCCAAGACTCCAATGAACAATCAACGATTGCTTCTTTTCTCTTTTCTCCAACGATTTCTCTGTTTCTTATGTCTATATTAGTATACACATGTTGTTTTTAGATATATATATATATATATATATATATATATATTCTGATTTATGCACATATGTAACTAATTTATTTTATGTACATAATCTGTTTTAACATATAAATTTTGTACATAATTGGTTATATATATATATATATATATATACATATACATACGTGTATGTGTGTAAATATTCTGAATCATGGGCTTTATAGTTTGTTTATTTGTATGGAGATATGATGTTGTGTTTTTTTTTGTTACGTGTTACAGAATTATAATTTTGTTGTTTAATTTTTTGGGGCTTACGCCTTTGACCAACTCGAGGCTTATGCCTCAATACCTAAGAGGAAAACGCTTCGAGATTCTTTTCCGTTCTTTAAAGTGTTGTTACAGTCATATTGATCCTGAGTCTATGATGTGTAAGGGGCTGTTTGACAGTTACTGAATGGTTTGATGCAGAATAATTAAGTGATCAAAATAATTAAGAGACTCTCATGATATAGTGCAAACTGAAATATAATTGTTTACAATGAAATTAAGGCGCTGAATGATTAAGGGAGGCCCATGATACAAAATCATTCAGAGGGTTTTAAAATCATTAAGAGACAGACTTTTATTTTGCCAAACAAGATTTACATCTTAACGATTCAGATACTGTCTCTTAATGTAATTATTAAAAGGTAAAAAAATAACCTTTAAATTCGTGAAACTTCGAGTGATGTCATTAATTAAATATATAAAAGTGTAAAATCTAAAATGAAAAGTGTAAAAAAATACAAAATCTAAAATGATTTTAAAAACTAAAAGAATGATCATTTTTTTGATAAAAGTCACACCAACGCACCATGGACTGAACCACGTTTTACAAAAACACTATATGTTGTATCGTAACTAACGTCTTAATCCATATAAGATAACATAATAAATACATTTTTAAAACATTTTTAAGTGTTTGAATAAATAACGTATATCGATGCCAAACTGGTAATAAGAAATTTTTAAAAAGTTAAATTAATCTAAGTTATAACAAGTTAATAAGGATATTTATATAAAAGCATAAATTATTTTAAATAAGCGATCCTAAATATCGGTAACTATGTTTTTTTAGTGAAAAATTATATTCCAGTTTCTGAATTTTCTAATTTATTAATTTTAGATCAAATTCATGTGTGTGGTAAATGGTTGCGTTAATCGATCAAGGAGTCTTCCCTGTAAAAAGGTCGACAAAATCTCTAGTATTAATGGAGTCGGACTGGTTATTCCATTCGATCATGAGTCCTGATCAATTTCTCCCAAAAGCCTGATTGGTCTCCTCTCCTTCTTACCTTCGTTATTCAAGCAAATTTGCTTCTCTTTCGAATCTTGGAGAATTGAAACGAGGGCTGGAGACTTGGATTTGTCAAAAAGCAATGCGAATACCGACAACAATTACACTTGTACGGAGTCAGGCCACCTGTCAACTTCCCAGTCTTGTTTCTTCCTCTACTTTGGTCTCTCCGATCTGATCAATTCATCAAAAACCCTAGTGGGTTATTGTCTTCGATACAATCAATTGTATTATTCAATTTCTGGATAAGTTAGGGTGTGTGAGGGGAGGAAATTGATCGGAACATGGAACATCGGAGGAGTCCTCCGAAGCACAGACACGATGGAACTTCGCCTTTGCCTTTAGGGATGGATTGGAGCCCTCCACCTAAGAAATGGGTATTTTGAAGATTAAAGTCTGATTCACTGTTTAATTTGCTTTAGCTCTGATCGAAGAATTGAGTTGATTCTTTACTTTTTTTTTTTTTCGTTTTGATGCTCATTGATGTTGAATTATATGGGGATATTTGATTGGTTGTGAACCCCGTTGCATGATATATGTGGTAGTTTAATTGGAATTCAGGTTTAGAGATTGCCGCTCATCCAGCTCAAATCTTTTGTTCCTAATTTCAATTTCAAGCCCTGGAATTGGAATTCCCAACGTACCCTTTATGGTTTTTGTTGCTTTCAATAATTTTGAGTTTGTCTTGGTTTATGGTAGTCCAGTAGCTTATATATATGCCATTATTATGAGTTTGTATTGATCCAATGTATTGTTTACAACTGATGTTTGAAAACTTCTGTATTCTGGGGCCATAGGCAAATGGAGATGGTCCAAAGATGTGCTTTTCTGATGCAGATTAGTATTATGATATAAAGTTTATCAATAAGTATATACTGTAAAGAGGAAGATGGCAACATTAGATTTGGTTGGATTTTAATGTAGCATATGAGATGCAGCTTGCTAGTGATCTAGTGAATCATGGAGCCTAGGATGGATTTATCACAAAATGGTCATCATCTTAAAGCTCCTTGCCTGTTTACTTGGACATTTCTCCAATTTGATAGAGCTTATGTTGGCGATGATTTACCGGTTGAACAAATAGGAAGTGTGCCGCTTTTGGAAGACATGCGCTGTGTACTACGTTAGAGGTTCATCAGAAATTGATCTGCATGGCTCATGTTCTGGATGTCCCAACTGTGAAGTTTCTGCCTGATTAGTGTTTGTGCAGCACCAGCATTTTACTGTAAAATTTTCAAGAGCATTTATGTTAAACTTTAGTCTGAAGTTTGTTCTTGCTGTTCGGATGGGCAAGGAATCTGTAATGTGCTAATTTGCATGATCCACTAGCAAGCAAAAACTATAATTCTGTTCTACAGTACAGCTGACTAGGAACCTGTAAAGTACTTCCTGAGGCATGAGTAGCTTGCAAGGATTAATGAAGTGCCCTTTTGAATGTCTTAGGTTTCTAGGTTCCTTCATTTTGGTGAAGAATAGTCCAAAAAACTGATAGGCTCACAAAGAGGGGAAGAGGTATCCATCAAAATAGGATGAAACCTTGAGGTGTTGTCTAGCTATCACTTACCCAGCTTTCTTCCAGTTGAAAGCATTATGGTTGCAGCCTTAGTGGATTAGTGGGGAGAGCTTGCATTTGTTGCTGTTAGGAATTGCTGAAATTCCCCTCCCTTAATTTTACATTTACACTTGGAATAGATTAGAACTGGCATAGGCCTATCATTTCTGCCCTCCCACTCTATTTACAGAACTCTCACTATTCAAAATTCCAAAATTTGCCCCCTCAATTAGATTTATGCCTAGAATAGATAAATACTGGTTTAGACCTAACAGTTGTATCGCGGGCCATAATTGTATTTTGGTCATAAACAGGACCAGTTTGAATTTTAATCTGGAGTTCTATTTTGTTATAGTTGCGATATTGCTCTTGTTTTGTATGATCATGGTTGTGCATATAAATTGCATAAGCACATGGCTAACCCTTGAATTTTTTTAATTTATTTTACTTATAAAAAATGGAAAACTCGTAAAGCAAGAATCTATCATCCTTGCAAAGATTTTTGAGCTGCGTTTCTCTAGGATACTAGAGAAATTGATGTTAATTTTCATTGAAAATCCGATGAAAGTTGGTGATAAAACCATGACCATCTAAAACTGATGTGCTTTATTGTGGCGGTTGGGAGTATCTAATGACAACAATCTTTATTCCGTATGATTTATTGAAGTGCATGCAAAATATTTAAAGCGGTACTCAGTCTCACTCATAAACTTAGATATGAAGACATGATATAATCTTTCTCCTTAACGAGTAATTATACCATGCTCTTAGACTAAGATATGATGTTCAATGAAACTGTGAAAAAACAAGTATAAAGCCAACAACAAAGCAAAAAAGGTATCTACTGCTTTTGATTAGAGGTTGCTACATGCAATTTATAATGCATCATAAGCAATACTGACTTCTCCTGTTTCAGCCGACGCATATATACCAAGTCTGAAGTATAACTTTAAGGCACACTATTCTTAGCATGTTTCATTAATAAGAATTTAGTCATTTCTTTTATGTACTTTAGCTAAATCAGTGACAGTTTAATATTTGTTGAGATAGTTGAGTGATTGATATAGTAAGAGAACGTTAATGAAGAAATTAAATGCAGTGTTTTTCTTCTTATTTATGATGAATAAATTGGTTATAGTAAAATGTTCCTAAGCAGAACAAATACTAGAAACACGGGCAGTTATATTTCTGTTGCGAGTCATTTAGAGAAGGTTGCACATTTATTAGCTGACACTTTCACATAAGGATATAAATCATGAAAATGCCTTCTTTGAACAAGAGTCATGAGTTTCAATTAATGCTTTCTAGCAGTAAATGGGCGTACCTCACAAAGAAAACAATTAAAAAAACCTGCCGCATGGAAGCCTCAGGAAGTTGATCGTAGAGTTATAAAAATAATTGCACGAGGCTAGTACATTTCCTGTGAGACACTAGTTACAACCATATGTGGCAGTTTTGATTGCATCTTGCTCACATCAAATGTATTAATGAAACATTCAGTTCTATAAGACTCTTAATGAACTTTTAAGGTTAAAAATAGGTCATATTGTCAAAGATTTGTAAAGCAGTAGCTGAAAAGATTTTAATATGGTGACCATCTTGGAAGTAGATCATAACTAGAAAAAAGGAAGTTTGCTGGAAGCTGAATGCGCCTAACCTACATTGATTTCAAGTTTTTTTTTTTCATTTATTTGTAAAACAGAGGTATTTTTCTGTAAGTGTAGGAATTTTTTTTGGGTACTGGAAAAACGGGTGGTGAAGGTTAATGGAAGAAGATATCTTATGGTAAGGAGGTTTAAGATGCCTTTGTCTAAGGTAGGCTTTTAATGGAAAAAGGAATCATGATAGTAAGAGTTGTAAACGAACCAGAGGGAAAAAGATAATTTGTCTCATTTTGGCTTTTAGAAAGGCATTAGTTACTAGAGCCACAGTTGCTATCTTATGGCGTTAACATGGGTATTGGTGGGCTATAGAGAAGGGGGATTGGAGGCTGTCCCAAAGTTCAAAGTTAGGGAACTATATTATCGAAATGATATTAGTTTGTTTTTCGACCTGGATAGTTCTGGACATTTGGATTCTTTTACGTTTTAGTTGATTATATAACTCAATCTGTATATCCAAATCTGAGGAGTCTAAGACATCATGAATATCTTGAAAGTATATTTTATTTGTAATGCTATTGATAGGCCACATTCACATTTTAGTTTTCTCCAAGAATATCCATGCAGTATTCTAGTTGCTCCTCTGTTTAGGTGGTTCATTAAAAATGATTCTAATGTAAGTGCAGCTCTCCTCAAAGCTATTTCTAGTCATATCTTCTGTTTGAGGTAGTGGTGTTGCTTTACTTTTAATATGCTCCACTCTTTTTTCTTCTTCTTTTTGAAGTATATAATATTTATATATGGTAATTAAACTTACACACACAGACATACTTATGTGAGACTTGAACCCCTAACCTCCAGGAAGGTGGGGTTATTGGGTGCCGCTGAGCCAATGGCCCTTTGGTAATATATTCCACTCTTCATTGTATATCAGAGATCTTATGTCAATTCCTGTCTGAGAACTCCATATTCTGCAGAATGGGCGGGATACAGTTTGGCCACATGATCCTCGCACAGGATGGAGTTACTGCATCACAATCCCAACCTGGGTTGTCCTTCCGAAATCTAGAGACTCAGACCCTGTTGTGGTAATACTGATAATCTCTCAATTGTTTATCTATACAAATGGTTAGATGATGATTTATGCTGTAATACTGGACCTGCAATATCTTGACAAACAGTTACCCTTCATGTATTCTTTTGGTTCTTGAACCTTTAAATACTTGCTTTCTAATTTGGATTTCAAATGTTGACATTGTCAACGGGAAACAAATGCTAGTTTGTTGATTCATGTTATCTTATCTATCTTGCTGTTCTCTAAGAGTTGTAAGAAAACATTCTCAACTTACATTTTGATCAAGGATATTGTGAGGAAGAAAGCCTGAGCTGATCAGGTCAACTGTATCCCTAGGCTGAATGAGAAGAAAATCGAAGAACATAGGTTTTGGACTTTTGGTGAACTTGGATCTGAGATTAGAAACTAGAATGTATGTGAAAAGGGCACAGTTTTTCATGGCAAAAAGTATTGATCATTTGAACTACAAAATTGGGAGGACTGCTTTTCCTTCCAATTGACTAACAAATCTTTTCCTCCATGGATCAAGTCAAATTACATTGTACAACGATTGTGGGAGAAGATGCTGATGCGGAGCTCCTCTCTTATGATTTACATTATAAATTTATAATTGTTCTTTGCATTGACTATAAAGTTCCAAAAATGGTCTTTTGTTCTCGTCAGTCTACACAAGGTCAAGCAGCTATTTTTACTGAATTTTGTGAGCATTGTGATAGTGTTTAAAACCGGTATATTATTTACCTTCCTTATATTCTGTTGTGAGCTTTTAGTTCAATTTCCAGGCAAGGTAACAATTGAAGCAGATCAACATCAAAAACTTGAACCACCTAGTAACGGATAAAATATGCGATTGGGGTGAACTGGAGATTAGCTACTTAAATTGATTCCATCCCTTGATTGTGTTCTCTTAGGATGTTATGAATCATATTAAGATCTTTTGGAAATTCTCATTTTCATTTGACAGATTATAAGTTATTTCAAAATATTTCTCTATGTCAAGGAAGATACGAAACAACCTTCTCTGTAAGAAACTAATATAAAAGAATATCGAAGCATGTGTTGGGAGTTTCTCTACTGTCTATTGCAATTAATTCGTCTTAAACCTGCCAGTAAATGTCAAGAATGGTAAGAATTTTTTGATACAACTCGTGCATGCATAGAAGTAGGCATTTTATTTGTAAATCTGCCCTCTTATATAAGTCTTTTAGTTTTCTCATATTTAACACTATGCATAATAAATACTAGGCACTTCTAGCTCATCATTTATTACACTTAACGTTACATGGTATCACTCTGTTTTCCATCTAGGATTATCTATTTACACCCTAGGTGCCAAGTATGAGTCTGCAAATCCAAAATAATACACTTAAATTCATTTTGTCATTAAAATGTGTAAGTTTAATTTTATATGCCAAAATGCGTTGGTCGTGTTTCTTCTATAATTTTCCTTCTTGAAGTATAGAGTTTAATATTCAATACCCCAAATTGGCCTGGTCAAATCGAACCAGTAGTATTATCAACTGTTGTAACTGTAGCATCTGATGGAGGCGTTCAGTTAACTTTATTTATTTAAATAGTTGTGACAGGTCAAAAGACTGTGTTTCTACAATTATAGCCACTTTACAACAAAGTTAAATGCATATCGTGAGCAGTGAACTTGAGTATGCTATTTTACATCAAGTAAATCTGTTTTGGATCAATGGCAAACGGGACTCTTGCTGTAAAACACAGATTAGCATTTTTTAAAAGAAGAGTTCATCTATTTTGATTGTAATCTAACTATAGTACTGAATGTTATATTGGTCTAAGCACATTCAATCGTTCTTGTTTGTTTTGGATGCATTAAGGAACACTTGAGATATGGCCAATGGGTTATCATATTTGGCTTTCCTTTTCTTGACATGTAACTTATTTGTGTCTATACCTGCATAACTTTCTTGCTTTGGAACTTGGAGAGTTAAGTTAGTGGATGCACTGCACATAAATGTTCATTCAAGTTTTTTATTGACTGACTATTCTATACAGATCCAGACTTACCGTAGTTCTAAACTACGTGTACTGATAGGTTCACTAGTATTTGCTATCCTCAAGTCATTGTTGACCTGAGGTCTGTATTTTAACCATTCAAACATGACCACCATCTAACTGACAGGAGTATAATCTAAAAAGATCTATGAAAGTTCTTTCCTGAATCGGAAAGAGACTACTTGGGTTCTCCCGATAACTAAAATGTTAAATTTTACAGAAATCTGTAAAGGTAGAATTTCATGCACATGATGTGCAACAAGATACCATCCTGATTGCTGACACGTAGTTAGATATCATTAAGTGTTCTTCTAGTTATAGAATATGATGTTTATTGGAGTGGTTTGTGGTAGGAATTAATGTTAGTAGAATGCATGACATAGCTTACTAAGAAAAAAGAAACTATGTTAGTTACCAAGCTCTATAGGTGTGTTTAAAGGCTCAATCAGGGATAAACGTTCCAATGGACGTCATTCTTCTTTCAGCGATATTATTCTAAATAGTGAGTCTACATATCTTGGATTCAATTTGGCAATTTGATATTTTGTTTTAATTGTGGTTATCATTCAGAAAACTAATTGCAAGGTTTCTTTGAGGTTTGAATGATGATGTAGAACTATGAGGATGGGTGGTGTTGATTATGGTTCTGGTGATGGGGAACAAGTTCCTTTTTCCTTAGTCCTTCTCTAGATGAGTGACACACACTTAGTTTGTGCAAACTTAAGAGACTTGAATCATGTGAAATTCTTGAATTAGGAAAAATCAGTCAGAAACTTGTTGGATTTAAGAATAAAATAGAATATTCAAAAATGTGTTTTCTGGCAATTACGAGTATCCTCATGTCTGTCTTTGTATGTCATGAAGATTTTTATTGCATTTCATGTGCTAACGTCATTACCATTAGTGAGTATTCAAATTTGATTCTTTGGTGTTCTTATATTGAATTTCATGAAACTTCGTCCAATGAACTATGAAGGGATGTCCTTGTTCTGAATATTGAGTGATTAATAAAATTGCACTTGGTGCCAATGTGGTTTGTAGTATCTGATAGCTTTTTTCTCTTCTCAACTCAGAGTACATATTTATTATATTTTGTATGTTTTAGGTTTAATCCATGTTAACATTCTTAGAACAGTTCTATAGGGTCCAGGTTGGTCTACAATCACCCGAAGGGGTCACAACAACACGAGCGGTATTAAGAAGATTTAATGATTTTTTAAAGTTACTTGCTGCTGTAAGTAAAATAACTTTCATCATATCATCTGTGTTGGACTTTATAAGTACTTTGATGTTCTCATTCTGTTTCATGTTACTTTGAATTTAATTTTTGCAGCTTAGGAAAGCATTTCCAAAAAAGAATCTCCCACCAGCACCACCAAAGGGACTCTTACGGTTAAAAAGTCGAACACTGTTGGAAGAGGTAGTTATTTGAAACCATACCTAGTATAGAAGTAACTGGTTGCTGGCAACTTGTTTTTTTATTATCATCGTGAATATGAGCTTGTGATAATTGAGGATTACGCTACACTATTAATTTTGTTGCTCCTGGAAAGCTTTGTCGCTTTATTCACTGAAGGGTCTCACTTTTGATCTTCTGGTTTGAAGGCTCTATTTTTATAATCTTGTACTCCATCCGAAAATAGATGCGATAATTTCCTTTCTAGGATTTGCCAAAATAAATGCCATGTTCTTCTTTTCAGAAAAATTTCAATTCGACATTAAATTTTGCCAATTAGTTGCAAAATCACTGATAGCATTAATTTTGGTCCATAAGATTCTTCAATTTAGTTGCTATTGATGGTTATTTTAGATATTTGGTTCTTCCATTGAAATATATGCCCAGTCAAAAATTGCATTAATTTGGGGGGAGCATGAATATTTAGCAAGAACTGTTAGCCAAGCTTGAGTAAGCGCTTAGGAATTTTGATGAAAGTAACTAAACCTTGCTTATGATTCAAAATATCGTCAAATGATCTATATGGATATTTACTATTCATATATTCCATCTTATGCAGCGCCGTGGCTCTTTGGAGGAGTGGATGACAAAGTTGCTATCTGATATCGACATATCAAGAAGCATCGTAGTGGCATCGTTTCTTGAACTAGTATCTGCTGCTCGGTCTTGTATGTAATTGCCTACTTCACCTTAAATAATTTGAACACATTATCGTGCTTTATAAAATTTTCACTTTCAGCATTTGGTTCATCATTTAGCACTTCGATTTCTGATTGCATGTCATAATTCTTTTGCAGCATTTCAAGATGAAAACCAACAAATTGGACAAGGAAAGAGTAACACTGCGTCTCCACGTATTCATCCTGATTCAAATGAATCCGTGGCTTCTGGTAGTACTCCACTCACACCAGACTATGGCAGTGACACTGCTTATGAGACTTCAGAAATTGGAACTTCAAGCCTTGGAAGAGATAATATATCTGAAGCTGGTACAGAGGATTTGTCTCTGGATGAAGATTTGACAGGTCCACTAGAAAAACTTGTCAAGCACGGTATGTCCAATATCGACGAGGGTTTATTCATAGGAAATGCTATTTTAGAGCAGGTCGAAGGGTTTCCCAGGCATACAATTCATGCTAGAGAGATTAACAAAGTTATGAGGAGAACTGACAAAAATGGGAATGGATCTGACACAGCATATCTTACCAGAGATAGAGGGGATTCTCTGCCTCGACAAGAACAAGAACATGGAAAGTTTATTGGCAATTCTGAAAAGCTTTCAAATGGGAGTGTTGGGAAAACGACAAGCTCATTGAGAAGGAGCGTAACAGTGGATACGGAGTTTCCTAGTTCATTGGCAGACAGCTATCTAATTCCTTCAAGAGCTGCTGAGGTTTCAAAACCTGTGGGGTTTCTCGGCAACATGGAATCAGATGATATAAACTTAGTTCTTCCATTAGGGCAGCAGCAAAAGATGAATAGGGTTCTAATCAGTATGCAGAGGAGACTGGGAACCGCAAAAACAGACATGGAAGATCTAATATCAAGATTGAACCAAGAAATAGCAGTGAAAGATTACCTTACGACGAAGGTATGTTAAAAGTACTGCTCATCCTTTACTGATTTTTCCTTTCCTTAAGTGGGATGCTAATATTTCTCTCAAGGAATCTAAAAGATAGTCTTTCCGTACTACTAGATTTCTGCTTTCCCTTGTAGTTTCCAAAAAGGCTGTTTCTGTGACTCAAGCCCCTGACCTTTCTCTAGCATGTACACTATGCTTATCTTCCAGGCTTGTGCAACTATCTTAATCTTGAACTGTGTATATATTCTAACATCTGCACCTTAAAAACCAATTATTCAATATCTGTTTATGGTTTTCTGTAGGTAGCTGCCATATTAATATGGTAAAGCTCTTGCTGTTACAAAGATTCTCGCCTGGGGGGGGGGGGGGGCCAAAAACTGAGTACCTTTTTTTTGCGCTACTTTGGGGAAACTGAATGTTCATGGCATTAAAAATGATTATATTATGCTTTGCCTGCACTTCATGTGTATTTTATAGGTCAAGGATTTGGAGGAGGAACTTGAGACTACCAAACTGAGAAGTAAAGAAAACCTTCATCAAGCTATTTTGATGGAAAGAGAAAGAGTTACTCAAATGCAGTGGGATATGGAAGAACTTAGACGGAGATCACTTGAAATGGAGTTCAAACTGAAGTCGCAACAGGTTTTATAATGCTGTTGGGTTTCTTTTTTAACATCGAATTAAGTAACTTCTGTGATGTGTAATAATTGGCAAGTGAAATATTTCCAGGATGACAAGCAAGAAACAGAATCGCCAAAAACATCCATTATTGAAGAGAAAGATCAATTACTGCAGGAGCTGGATGATACTAAAAGCAAGCTTGAGCAACTATTGAAGAAACATCAAGAACTAGAAATTAAATCAAAAGCAGATGTCAAAGTTCTTGTTAAAGAGGTTAAATCCCTTAGAAGTTCACAAGCAGAATTGAAACAGCAGCTGAATCAATCAGTTGTCGGAAAGTTAGATGCAGAGGTATCACTTCATATATCAAAATAAGCGTTTGTTTAGATACTTTGTTGGTTGTGAAAATATTTATGCTAGAAAGAGAACTTACACTCTTTCCGTCCCAAAACAAATGCAACGTTTAACCAACAAGCTTGGTTAAAGTGTTTGCCTAATAGTCAAAATATCTAAAATACCCCCAATATAAGTAGGGGAATCTTGTTGAAAGAACCAATACTATCATTACTTTATCATGATCAGTAATAGGAAAAGAAGTTACTACGGATAATAACTGTGCCAAAAAGGTAAACATTATCTTTTCTTGATCCCAAAAGGAAATTATTGAATATATTTTAGGACAGTGGAAGTGTAATAATAGTTTTGCATTGTAATTCTTGACTTGTTTTCATTCAGTGAATCACAAAGACTTCCCTAGTATGGAAAGGTAAAAATGGCCTACCTAAAAGAAAACCAAAATCCTGTAAACAAGTAGATCTTGATATGGTCCTAGTGTGGGACTCGCTTAGCAATAGATGGATACCTTGCCTCTATGTTTGAAGTCTGATCATATATACTTATTTTTATGGAAATATGTGGTATCCAGAAACTTCTTCAACAAGAAAAGCAGAAGTACGAGAATGATAATGTTGCTAGAAGGGAGTTGCTCCATGAATGTGATGTTCTTCAACATCGGCTTCGAGAGTGCAGCATGAATTTGCTAAATGAAAGTGAAGATAAACTAGTCATTGATTCACCGTCAGTGCAAGATGCTTTAGAACTCGTAAAAATATCGGATGATCGGATAGAAGCCCTCCTTGCACAGGTACGTTTCACTTGCATGTTATGATGATTTACAGCAGATAAACAGCATTTCTCATCGTCGACATTTTAGAAACTGTGTTAAAAGACTTGAAAGTTCACCTTTAACTCTGTTTATTTAGGCAAAGACATCATTTCGGTGACCAAAAACATGTTACCCTCATCACATCATCTACTAAAAGAACTTGTTTCCGCCTTACATGTTATGAACCTCCACCACGTGTAACTGTCGATTCTTGTTCTTACGTGGTTGTATCCATTGAATCACATATTTGGTGATCTTTCTCCGTGATGATGGAAGTATAGTATCAAGCACCACATCTATTTTCATACCTAATTTGAGTCCATATTATGGCGAGTAAATGTGCAGCAGCCACAACACAGGTCTTGCCAATCCCTTCTGCATGAAATAGTTGTATCATGTGAACATAATGCATTATAATAAGCTTGTTACTTGTTTTTCAAATGTAATAATTACTAGCATTTATGGAAACAAGAAGATTTGGCCCACATCTTACCCTCTACCTCTACCTCTACCTCTACCTCTACCTCTACCTATGCTTGAGATTTACTGGATGTGTTTGATTTGATTTGGTTTTATGAACAATATCTAAGTTGTTTATACATGTTGGTTTGGGAATTTGTTCAGGCACAGATCTTGGGACAAGATGATGATGTTTCAAGTGGTGATTATGAACTTAGGAAGATGGTGTCGGAGATCCTTGTAGATAACATCAGTCTAAGAAAACAGGTGAGTCTTCTTGTTCATCGTGCTCTCAAAGTAGGCATCGTAACAACTAAAGACATGGAAGCGCCTTGTGTAAAAAACAAGACTTTAGATACAAGATGAGAGCATGGGTGAGAGCTGTAAATACATAAATATGGTGCTTTACTAACATTACCTTTGTGGGTAATTTGACCAACTTGTTTTCTTGAAAGTTGTTATCCTTACTCACTCGGGTAAGCTTTTTGCACTATACATTCATTAATATATATACATACATACATATATGAGGTTTTATGGGACTTGATCCTTTTCTGGGAGATCAAGTTTAGTGTAGGTGGAGATGAATATCATCTTCATGTTTGTTGGATCATGATATATGATGGCAGATTGTAGTCAAAGATATCAATGCTTGAATATCAGGAATCAAACTTACATGCCCATTGCTTTCATTTTTGTCAAGTCTCTTTAAATTTCTGATGTTATGTGGATAAGAAGTAAAACTTATTTGCTCATTGCCAATGTTTTAAGTTGGGTTTATTGCTCATGACCCATATGGGATCCAGTTACAAAGTAGCGAACTGGTTCACGATGGTTCGACCGATGTGTAGATGGTCTAAGATTGGTTGTGATGTGGTTGCAATCAACCATGGTTTTTTTGGAAGTATATATATATATCGCATATGCTCTTCATCTTTGGTACCTCTTGGAAGACTGGAAATTCGTATGCGTTGGGCTAATGACCATTTGGTGCAATCGTCAATGGCTTATGGTGGTGGTTGGGGGGTACTCGTGATTTGGGCGTTTATTGGTTCACATTTAATGGACCTAAGGGAACAATTTCAATCCTATCATTTATTGATTGTTGAAATCTTGAGAATCGGTTCAATACAATTAAATATTGCTGTTGGTTATTTTTTGGATCAAAAGTAAATTGAACAAATGATAAATTGTTGATGCAAAAGAACTACTCGTAGATAGATGTCAATCATTTAAGAGTTTTTTTGTCAGATGTTTTATAATATGATATAGATTATCATTATTATTTAATTGAATGTCTGACGTTAAATAATATTTGCTTTTGGAAAATATAACATGAGCTTAGAAGCGACAAATTAGAGGAGGGGACCAATAAAAAGATTGTAAATTAATTATGACAACTGAAACAATGATAAATTGTAAATCATAATGATAAAAGTAACAACAAATCACAAACTATAAGATCAAAAACTCTAATTTCTAAATCACAAGGAAAAAAATATCACCATTTTTAACAAAGCTCAGCAACTAAAAATATAATTTATCTCTTTTTAATATTTTTAAAAGTTGAATGATATTAATAAGACATATATTTCAATTTGCTCTATATAAATGATAGTTATGAATTTTAATAAACGAAATTCTAACCATAATCTTTTTTAGTTTCTTTGTAACAGAGGTTGTTAAATCGGTAGGGGTGGACCTATTTCTTCTTATATGTGAAGTGTTGTAGTTTACACGTTAAGTATCCTGTTTGAGGAATACGTTCGCAAGAACATAACTCAAAGGAATTGGTGGGGGCCTGCACAAGCGGTGGAACACCTGGTTTAATTTGATGCAAAACGAAAAACCTTACTTTTTAATTTAAAAATAAAAATGTTTTATATTATTGATTACTTTTTAGGAGACTTATAATAACTAACTAACTAACGGCTAGTCTTTTAATTAACAACCTAACTTATTTACTAATTTATTAAACATAACTTTAAAACATCTCCAACCTGACCTCTTAAAAAACTTGGTTTTTTGTTACCCGGTTTTTCATTAATTTTTATTTAATAATAAAAACCTACCCTACTCCAATGTCAAAAGCTTTTCTTTAACAATTAACGATTTATTTAAAAAGTTTATTAAGGGGTCGTTACCAAACGTTTGTCAGGGTAAGCGTTAACCAAGTCATATTATTTTACCTGATGAATGTGGTAAGAACCAAGAACTTACCGGGCAAAACTGAGACAAGGACCAAAAGTCTTACTCGGTAAGTGAGAGCGACAACTATTACCAAGATAAACACTTACCGAGTAAATAATTGCATACAATGCCGTTTTGGTGGACTAAAATCTTCCCCGGTAAGTAAATGATAGTGTTAATTTTACCGGTAACCACTTACCGGGAAAGTGTTTGGTAAACGGCGGCCGTTTACCCAAATCCTTATCCGATAAGTGCTTACCAATAGAATTAAACATTATAATTTGTTTTGATACATAAGATTCTAGTATATCCAAACATATCAAATGCAACAAGTTACTGGGTAAGAGTCACCATTCTTACTTACCGGGTAAGCAGTGGCGGACGCAGAAAAATATATTGTAGGGGGCACTCCCGACAAATTTTTTTGGAAATCCCCCGTCCATATCGCAAACCAGTGGCGGACGCAGAATTTTTTTTTGGAAATGCCTAATTGCCTATAAAATTACCCACAAAATTAATCAAACAAAATTAACCTAAAATACCTAACCTATAGCATTTACCAATTATCAATTACCACAAAATTAACCAACAAAATTAACCTACAAAATTAACCTAAAATAAATACCTAACCTAAAGCATTTACCAATTACTAATTACCACAAAATTAACCTAAAGCATTTACCAATTACTAATTACCACAAAATTAACCTAAATAACTACTAATTGAAGTTGGAAATTAGAAATTAACCAACTTAATTACTAATTGAAGTTGGAAATTAGAAATTAACCAACTTAATTAACCTAAAATCCCTAAAGTAAARCATTTACCAATTACCATAAAATTAACCAACAAAATTAACCTAAAATAAATACCTAACCTAAAGCATTTATCAATTACCACAAAATTAACCTAAAATAAATACCTAACCTAAAGCATTTANTTACCAATTACCACAAAATTAACCTAAAATACTACTAATTGAAAAATTAGAAGATGGAAACTAGATATTTAGAATATTTACCAATTACCAAGACAAGAGGCTTAGAGGCGACAGCAGTCAGCAAGCAGCCAGGAGCCAGAGCACAGGTTGCAGTCGGTCTCGCCGTCTCGRTCTCGTCACTCTCGCCTCTCGCTCGCAGGTTGCAGCACGCTGCACGCCAGGCGCCAGCACCGTCGACTCGGTCTCGGTCTCGTCACACTCGAGTCGCTCGCTCTACTCCTCTCCAGCTCTCCTCTGTCCGTCGTTAAATTCGTTCCCGTCGTGCAGGTAAGYAGATTTCTAGGTTAGAGACTTAGAGAGGGGCCTCTTGTCTAATATGGTTGGGGGCCTAAAGAAGAGGTAATTACAAATACAAGTAAAAAAAAAAAATTGGGCTTTGGTGTTAAAATATTGTTGGGGGCCTAGGCCCCCTACCCCATTAAGGTGCGTCCGCCACTGCGGGTAAGAGTCTCTATCCTTTTCATTGCTCTTACCCGGTAAGATTCTTGGTCCTTCTCATATTCATCCGATAAGAAAATTTATCCGGTAAGCATTTACCAAGTAAGTGATTAGTAAACGACCCCTTAGTCTCTTACACTTGAAAGGTGGAATTAGTCTTAGAGATAAAAATAATAATAAATTATAAAAATCATAATTTCTAAGACGAAAATAAAAATTAGTAACAGGGACAAACTGTAATTTACTCTATCAAAAATTATTCAATTTTCTAAACCATTAAAAGTTATGCGACTTTCAAAAACACTATAAAAGTCATCAAGAACATTACATGCTTTTGTTAATTAAGATTATCCACAACACCTCTTTTAAAAAGTATGATGAAACATTAAAAGAGGATTTAAAATCAATACATTAAATTAGAAAGGAATTATAAGTATTAATTCTAGAGTAAACTACAAATGTGGTCCTTGTGGTTTGTTAAAATTACATTTTTCACCTTTTTGGTTTCGACTTCACAAAATGGTCATCCTAGTTTGTAAGAACATCCGAATTTGTATCCTTGTTTTAACGGTTGTTCAAAAATTCTATTAACTGAGGAGCATTTTCGTTCTTGTATCATTGTTTTTATGATTCACCCGGTGTTCAAAAATGCGTGCCATGGCACGATATGGCGCAAGACGTGGCGGATTCGCCATTACGAAATGACCCATAGTGTTTCTGTAAGGCATGACTCACGCCATGGCGTCTTGAGGCGTGTGTTTTTTGTAACACGTGACTTTTTCCAACTTTTTTTTTATCTTTTTTGTTTTTACACTTTTAACTTTTTAAATTTTACATTTTTATCGATCTAACTAATCACATCACTCACGGTTTTCACAAATTCATAAACGTTACATACCCACGGTATAGTTGGTATAGTTGTTAAAGTAAAATTTTCTCAAATACCAAATCTATCTATATCTATCTAAAGGGAAAACCTACCAAAAATGACCTGGCATCCTCTTAGGGTAGGATTCTTAGCTAGAAATTTTGTGGTGTTTTTGAATTTTTAAAATATTAATTATATTAAAGACATCCATGACCCTGCATGAAAAAAAATGTATTTTTCATTGCAATCGGGTCATTTTGGTAATTTTACGATCGTTTTAATTAAATTTTAACCTTCAAACTCTTCGGTTTCCTGGAAGACTTTTTACTTTCTTCATCTCCTAATTAATCCACATCATGTAACCATTTCACTCTCTTCATTCCTTAATTTCTTCATTTTGATTCAGGTTTGTTTTTCTTCTCCATCTCTTAACTTTTTCCATTTTGTTTTTGGTTTGTTTTTATTCTTATTGATCTCTCCATCCCTCAATCTACGTTTCTCTATTGTTTCCTTATCATTTATCCCCATCGACAAAAAGAAGTATACACATCAATTCAATAAGGTAAAGTGGTACAACTCTCAATTTGTTCATCTACGGCAAAAAGATATACACGGGTTTATATATATATGTATGTATATATATATATATATGTATATATATGTATATATATATATATGTATATATATATATGTGTGTGTGTGTGTGTCATCTTTTGTTAACTTTGCTTTTTGTGTTAACTATATAAACCAAAATGGTTTGATAGGAATCCATATTGGTTCATGGTTAATAGGTTAAATGAGGGCAAATTAGTAAGAATATCTTGACATAATATGAGAGTTACATTGTTCCTAAAATTTGGCTCATTTCAAATATTTAGTTCCTCTAGACGTAATGAACATCTAATTATGTCTTCCATCGTGTTCATCTTTAACATGTTTAGAATGGTTAGTCATTAGGTGTGAACACAAGGGTTCATGAACATGGAAATCGTAACTATCATGACAGACGTTAAAAATGTTCATTGATATGTTCACTTATTGGGATTCATAATTGTTAACAATGTTCATGGATATGTTCACTGTTTTCACCACTCATCCTTGCCATCTACATTTGTAACCAGTCATGATTGTTTAAAATGTTCATGGATATGTTCACTTATTGGGATTTATA